ACAGAATCAATATAGGATTAAAGCAGATTAAACAAGATTTAGCATTTAATATTATTATAATAGAAAAGGTTACCCACTTTAATGTGCCAAAAAAGAATCCTTGCACTTCTTCATTCTTGTCATCCTCAGCATTTATAACCGTCTTTGAATCTATAAAGAAACAAATATATCCTAAATTAGCACAGACACATCAAGTTCACGCACACTCTGTTCAATCAACAACCAACTCACCTTTAACTTTGGTGTCATCCACAGCTTTGTATTCTGTGCTTTTAATGGCCAACTCAACACCGTATCCTGATAAAAGCACATTTTGAGGCTTTATTTTCTGCAGGGATTAAAGCAAGGGATCATATCAGTGAATATATTAATTGTTTTGCAAACGAGTTATGAAGAAGATGTAAGAACCTGTGCATCATCTCATGTGTCCCTCCTCATGTTGATTCAGTCTTCTTTTACACAGTTAAGTGGCTGTTTGCAGCCGGCTTCGGATATTATAATCCCAATAAATGACCGGTATAAGCGGCTAGCGGTCCAATAGAACCGTTTCAGATTGTGCCAGTAGGCTCGTTAGGTTGTCATTGAGTGAATCCTAATCTTAACCCTAAAGTAATTCCTGATCCCCCGTGGAATTAATGAATCCATTTATGTGTAATCTGAAAATAATTTCAGTAGTTCTTCATGTACTGTAAATGACTAAATAAAAATAAAATGATCTGCATCTCGCTCATAATAAACAAACAAAAAAAATTTATCTCATGTGCTGTCAACTGAGTGGTAGAACCCTCTACCTATACATTTTTCATTCTCTGTGAATTAATGCTGATAATTCTTAAGATCCTGGTCGAAGGCAAGGCAAGGCAGCTTTATTTGTATAGCACATTTCAGCAACAGGGCAATTCAAAGCGCTTTACATAAAATTAGTTAAAAGAATAAACGGACATGCACAAAACTACGACACAAATCTGCTTAAATCAGTAAATTAAAACAATGTGACTGGCTGTAAGGAGAGTGGAGATGAAAACCTGCTACCGACCAGGTTAGCTCTGGTGAGAATGTTACTATGGTGACTGAAACAGAGGTTGAGGAAACTATCTTTGTGAAACGAAAAAGTTACAATTTCCCAGTTTTCAGGTTTATACTACTTAAGAGTTTTGTGTAAACCTGCTTAGTAAAACGGACCAGTTGTTTTCTTTGCAAGTTGATTTATTTTAAAAAGCAAGCTTGTTTTTTCTTCAAAAAGCAGTGGTTTAAAAAAAATGTTTCTTTTAAAAAGCAGGTTTTCTTTACAAGAGCAAATTGTTTTCTTTCGTTTTCTTCAATTTCGTCATCGTTGATGAAAACAACACTAACCAACACCAAGTTTGTTGAATGCTTTATTCTTTAACTTCATCTTAAATGTATCTATAAGTATCAAACTGTAGAAATGGTACCAAAGTGTAGCAGTGTGTAATTGGCAATGTTTGAAAAGACAAAGATAAAGATCTTTGAGGGTTTTTCTTATGTGTGAATGAATAAGGCTGAACAATATATACTGAATATATACAATTATTGTAGAATTAGTGTGAGCATTAGCAATACTGTAAATGCATTAATCACTGCATTCCCTGACAACAGATAATATTATTTATGATTTTGAATGGCACTAAGTGCAATCAGCTGGCACTGATAAGTGTGACGAAAAAATCTGAGAGAATGGATTTATCATTACTAAAAGTGTTTTAATATACATCAATAGTACTGCAATGAATCTTTGTCTTGTAGAAAAAGAAAAGGAATAAATAGAATGAAACAAAAAATATTTTTGGAAATCATGTTGCAAACAACAAAGTTAAATATTGTTGATATGACCTCGCATAACTATCATGGTACTTCTGAAATTAGGGATGCACAATATAATCGGCCCCCTATCGGTATCGGCCTGTATCGGCCCTAAAACTGAATATCGAACATCGGCCACCCCACCGATATTTAACCCGATATTTGATCAGCTTCTGAGTTTCTAAAGTCTAAAAAAGAACAAAAAAATACTACTTCTTATTCTTCCTCAAAAACTTCTTCTTTACAGACTTAAAAACTTCTAAAGACGAGGGAAAAAATATTGATACATTAAAATATCCCAATATCTTCATATGCTGATATATTGCCATTTAAAAACACCATATCAATCTCTTTTACTAATGAAATATTGCTATATGTCATCGTTATGCAAAGAAATCCCCCGAAAATTCACGAAATTTTGCCATATTTTTATATGTTGATATATTGACGCGGTATCGATCTATTTTACTAACAAAATCTCACAAGAATTTGCAAAATATCACGAGAGTTTGTAACAGAACGATGAAATTTCACGAGATTTTGAAAGTAAAATAGATCGATACCGCGTTTTTAAAAATCAATTTGATATCAGCATATGAAAATATATTTGAGTATATTATTTTTCAAAGTGTCAGAAATTGATAACAAAACTGCTATTTTCAATGACTACTTATTTTTGTCCAGCTTTAACATCGGTATCGATATCGGTTATTGGCTACATGAGTTTTAAAATATCGGCATATTGGATATCGACCAAAATCCCAATATCGTGCATCCCTATCTGAAATAACACAAATGTGGTGGAGATATAAAATAACTTCCAGCATTTTTCACTATTATTTCAGTTTTTACTCACAGTATCTCTATATAGTGTAGAAATTGAGCATTTATTTAAAATTAAATACGTAATAAAAAAAATAAATTGCAGGAAAATTCATTATTAGCCTTTTAAAAAACCTTTGCGTAAAGTGAAAAGATCTACAATAGATGGTTCTATCGTAACATGCAGATTTTTTGAATGGGAAAGTTAACTTTTTCTTTTTTCTTTTTTTTTTTTTTTTACAGATTAAGATAAATTGTAAAGGCCAAGTGTTGCGCATAAACAAGGAATATGAATATGACACCTATATCAAGTAAAGAAAAATAGAAAAACATATCTAGCTACTCACCAGGACAAAATGCCGCAGAACATAAACCAGTGTGCCTTCCTCTGCTTTCTCTGACAGCACCTTATGAAACGAGTTGAACTTCTTGGTTCCAATTTCAGCATAGAGAATCACAACAGGCACATCAGTTTTATTGACTCCTGGATATGTGTGATCATTCTTGTATAAGTATGGCTTTTGCCTGGAAACATTTCAGAAAGTTGATAAATTTCTGAGTCAGTGGATCCCTCGGGAAACTAAAATGTAACTTTTCTGTTCTCTCCTTGGTTCAGATGAACATCAGAAATGGCTACACTCTACTTTACCTGCCTGCTGCTGCCTTAAGGAGCTTCTTGATGTCCTTGGTGCTGCAGCTGCGCTGACCGTGGACAGAAACAAAGGCAGGACAGCCTTCAGGTGGAGGCTCATCACTGGCTATCTGTTCAAAGCACAACAAAGATCAGAATACAAAAACCCAAATCAAATCAAGACAAGAAATACAAAAATATTCAAATGTATAATCCAAGCAGTGAAATAAATCTTCTCCTTCCACAATAACTAACTCAAAAACATCTTAACAGGTATAAAGATTTCTTCTATTCCACTTTAAATTTTATATGAAACAACTTACCACAGTATTAATAAACATAGTAATACAGACTTAGTAATAACGATACAGAGGAGCTAAACTTTAAAATGACTTTTACCAATAAGCAAAAGGCAGGCCTTAAACTAAAAAGTAAAAAAAAAAAAAATAAATTCTTCATGCAATCAAAGAGCTATTATTTACGACTTGTTTTTTTGGTATTCAAATTTGCTTTGTTTTGT